GTGATTATGGTCATTCCAGTTCACGTGATGACTATCCATCAAGAGGCTATAGTGATAGAGATGGATATGGTCGTGATCGTGACTATTCAGATCATCCAAGTGGAGGTTCCTACAGAGATTCATATGAGAGTTATGGTAACTCACGTAGTGCTCCACCTACACGAGGGCCCCGCCATCTTATGGTGGAAGCAGTCGCTATGATGATTACAGCAGCTCATGTGACGGATATGGTGGAAGTCGAGACAGTTACTCAAGCAGCTGAAGTGATCTCTACTCAAGTGGTCGTGATCGGGTTGGCAGACAAGAAAGAGGGCTTCCCCCTTCTATGGAAAGGGGGTACCCTCCTCCACGTGATTCCTACAGCAGTTCAAGCCGCGGAGCACCAAGAGGTGGTGGCCGTGGAGGAAGCCGATCTGATAGAGGGGGAGGCAGAAGCAGATACTAGAAACAAACAAAACTTTGTACCAAAATCCCTGTTCAAGGAAACAAACAAAAAGTGGAAACTATTATCATAACTACCCAAGGACTACTAAAAGGAAAAATTGTGTTACCTTTTTAAAATTTCCTGTTAAGTTCCCCTCCATAATTTTTATGTTCTTGTGAGGAAAAAAGTAAAACATGTTTAATTTTATTTGACTTTATGACATTGCTTTCAACAAGCAAATGTTAAATGTGTAAGACTTGACTTGTTGTACTAGTGTTGTTATTTTCCAAGTAAAAGTGTCCCTAAAGGCCACTTTCTATTCGATTTTTCCCAGTAAATGAGGCAAGCAATTCTAAGATCTTCCACAAACATCTAGCCATCTAAAATGGAGAGATGAATCGTTCTGCCTATACAAACTAGCTGTTAGAGGGTGGTTGGGTATGCTACTTCTAGGATTTCAGGGTGTCTTCAAACTGAAATCAAAATGTTCTCAGTATTAAAAACCTGAGATCAAATGCCTATGTAAGGAAAGTGCTATTCACCCAGTAAACCCAAAACAAATGGATAATGCTGGCCATATTTTGCCTTTCTGACATTTCCTTGGGAATCTGCAAGAACCTTCCCTTTCCCCTCCCCCAGTAAGACCATTTAAGTGTGTGTTAAACAACTACAAAATACTAAATTAAAAGTTTGGCCAAAAAAAAAAAAAAAAAAACTTTATGATCAGAAAGTAACTTATTAGGGATAGCTCTGTGGCACAATGTGTGCTTATTATCATAAGGTAATAATGCTGAATAATATATTTGGACCATCTGTATTACCTTTAAAATGAGATGGCTTAAAGGAATGTTTGTTTCTATTTTTAAAGTTATATATTCTTGAAAACACTCAATTTCTTGAGTTTGCAAACTTTGGTGCTGAGACTTCTATAATTTTCAAATGATTGTGATGACAGAAGGAAAAAAGTAATTGGAATTGTAGTTGAAGTGGGTACTCTGCAGAATTTTCTTCCACTAATTTAAATAAATCAACATCTTTCCTTGTATGTAAAATTTTTTAAATAAATGCAAAATTGTCTTAAGAAAGGGCTCATAAATATCCATGTACTTTCTGGATATCATTTAGTTAAAGGGCATGAGAGAGAGAGAGAGAGAGAGAGAGAGAGAGAGGAAAGGAAGCTACAGAAAGCAGGGTTTTCTGCTAAAATTTGGGAATAGTCTCTAAGGTTAGAGGACTGTCAAAGACACAATTTTCATAATTCATTTATCACAACCCATGCAACAAGTATAATCCAGATCAATAACCCACCAGAATCTAATCAATCTCCCATAAGGACACAATCATTCACCAACCCTGCCCACCTCACCTACCAATATCTCCTTAAAATATTGCCTCAACTCCTCCAGAATATTGAGCAACCCTGACTTATTCCTGCAAAGTAGTCCTCCCAACCAGCATCAGCTGGCAAGACAGAAGGTCTTAGAGTAAAAGTTTTTTACAAATAAAAAGCCCAGCCAACCCAGGAAGCAAAGTCTGCCTGGCATCCCTAGTCAAAATTGGCATTACAGAAAATGGAGGCAATTTCATCTGGATAGGCTAAAATAACTTCCCTCTTGTTTTTGAGAAAAGGGTTGATGGGATTTTAAAGAATGGTACCATTTGTGATGGTCTGACTTCTGACAACTGGTTTTTGATGTTTTCTTTTTCAACTTTCTCTGTAACAAGATTCCTTCATCAGGTCCTATTGGATCAGTTTTGGTAACAGGAAGTAACAAGGAAAGCAGTAAAACTTCATGCTCCTTGTTGGATTATTTTGTTTTGGGTTACAATGGTCTTTTACTGTTTTCTTAAATTTGGCAGAGAACATTTATCTGATTTTTAAAAAACTTTTGTGGAATAGGTAAAAAGAACTCAAGACTCTGGAAAAAGTTTATCAAAATGTAGAAGCTAAAATCACCATAGTCAGTCAAGGCACTGTCATGAAGAGACTGAACATGAAAGATGCTGTAAGCTCCCAAACAGAATCATTGCTGAACACATCTCTGAATTTCCTGAGCGTTTCTGACAGCCTGAGAAACATGTTCAACAGCCACTGCTCCCCTGATTGGCTGGTGAGTGTGAGTTGGAAGCTCTGAGAAGGGATCTCATGCCTGAGAACTACTCTTGGCCCAGTGAATGGATAAGCTGGGGTCCAAGGAGAAACGTCTCCTTAGAGAGCTTGCTTATCTAAAATATGTAGTTTTTTTCTTTAATAAAGAAGTGGGTACCCCAAATAACTTTGATCTGCTTGCCTTTCCTTCCCCACTGGCTAGTGTGGAAGCTTCTTAAATTGGTGGCCCATGTGAGTTGCTGGGGAGTGTCAGGATGTGTTCAGTAGCTGCAGGCTTTGATAAGAAGCTTGGTGAAGACTGTTTTCCAGTGGTGATTTTTAAGTGCTTTAAGGGGTATAATTTGGACCATTTAGGTGTTTAATTGGGGCCCCTGGACAGCTGTCACAATCCTGTCTGGAACTAGGGAGGAAGAAAAAGTAACTAATGAGATTCACATAGAAAATTAAACTATCTTGTGTGCTGGGGATCATTACTTGCATGAATTACAAAATGAATATTTTATGTTGAGAGCTAAATTAGTTATTTTTTTAAATAAAGGGTTGGATCAGTTATAGAAGTGTAAATTTCATCAAGATCTTGTCCAGGAGCTTGTTAACACTTCTCATCCCAAATGCATGCAACTCTCATATGTCACAGAAACACCAGGCTATTGATGAACCATAAATGGCCAATTAACCCAGCCATATTTGGGTTTTAACTGATCTCTCATGTAATAAATTTACTCCCCCCCCCACTGAATTAATATACCTAAATAAAGATGTCTTCTGAAGTTCTTTGATTGTTAAATCGCATTTGCCATGTGGTGGGGGTGGGTGGTAGTACAGGGAGTGTGTCTCTCAGGAGGCTTTGGGAGTAGGTAAAGGTAAACTGGTCCTTGGGGCAGATTGGCTGAGCAGGTTACTTTGTGAATTGTCAACACAAACTGGCTTGGTCTCTCTGAAAAGACCACAATTGTGTTTCTACAGCTATGAATGCTAGTGTCAAATTATAATAGGGGGGTGTAAGTTTTAACAGATGTTGCACTTTCAAAGTTTACTTGGATTGAGAGTCTAACAGAGCAGATAAAAGAATTGCCCAGAATTCTAACTTAATGTTCACCCCAGCAGGGTGAATCAGAAACTCAGACCAACAGGGAAAGGACACTTTCAATATGCCTAAAAAAAAACTTATGAAGGATTATGTTGATAATAGGCACTGTTTTCATTATCAATGATTCTGTTACATGGAGGTCTGTCGAGTGCTTCAGCAGGACATTGAAACTGAAAGTGTGAAGTGGCACAGTGTATCTCTGTCCTTCTGAATATTACAACAATTTAAACGATCCCACCCATGGGAAAATCTGTGGAAGACTTAGATGTCACAATCACCAGTTCTTTAGTAGTTTGGAGGGCCTTATGTGCTGTGGCCATTTGTGTTTATCTGAGATGAAGGAAATGTTTGGAAGAGGGAAGGAGCAGACATTCTGGGAGAGATATTTAGAGCCACATATTTGCTGAGGGAAGAGCAATGTCTAGTTTAAAAAAGGAAAAGCTAGGATGGGACGGAGATCAGTGCAATTGTTTACCCAGGAGATTTATACAAAATACTCCAGAGCAGGATCCTCCACACTAAGGGCAGGGCTAGATCGTAAAGCACGGAGACTCTGGAGCCAGACACCAGAGTTTAAGTCCCAGCACAGCCACTGGGCAGTTACTCAGTAGCTCTGTGCCTTAGTTTTCTAGTCTGTAAAATGGGAATCATAACTGTACCTACCTCATTAGATTATTATGAAGAATAAATGATTTCAATAGTGACTGAGCTTAGTAACTATTATCCAAATGTTCATCAAATAAATATGTACATATTTGGGGTGGCATGACACACTTAACAGTTGGACCAAGACTGATGCTTAGGACAGAAATGGAGAAGATGGATGAAAATTATTTTTCTATTATGCTGCCCAGCAATGCGTGCACACATATCTTTCTCCAGAGCACCTATGTAAGTGTGTTCGGCTCCTTGTCCTTGGAGCTCCCCCAGGTGGGGGTTGTGGAGATACAGGTCCTCAAAAGCTTGGGCAGGTTTCCTGAAGAAGCCACCTTTTGAAATCTATGAGCGTGAAAGGCCCTTGGGCTTACATTTGACAAGTGTGAATATCAGATAAGTAACTAGCGCAGTCTGGGAATAAGAACATTAGTTCAGGTCAGACAGGTAAAGCAAAGTTAAGCCGTGCTCTATGTTGTTTATAACAGTAACTGAGGGAAAGACACAGGAGTCAGGCAGATGAAGATTAACACTCTAGCTTTATTTCTGATGGAAATGTTAGAGAACACAGTTGAGGTGTTCAGGCAATGGAAAGACTTTCTAAAACTAAGCCCAGAGTGGGACAGAGTTACTTATCCATTCCAGGCAGCACAGGAGACCTGCAGGCAGGACAGAGAGGCAAAGCTGAAAGGAGTGTTCTTTAGGGGAAGGTAGGTACCCAAGAGAGAGGATCAAGTGGCTAACACACACATGTCCAATTCTTTCTCCTAAATTGGTGGTTCTCAAAGTACAGTCCCAGGTTCCCTGAGGTCAAAACTATTTTCATAACAGCAGTAAGATATTTGCATTTTCACTCTCAAGAGTGTACAGTGGAATTTTCCAAAGGCTACATTACATATGGTATTGGAAAAGATTGAATGTAGAAGTTGATACCATAATTCATCTTCTTTCTCTTAAATCAGACATTAAAGTGTAAAGCAATGTCATTCTTTTCACTATAATTTTGTTTGGAAAATAGAGTTATTTTTTCATAAAATATTACTTATGTTAACATACAGTGAATTTATTACTGTTATTTTAAAATAAAGTTCTCAGTTCTAATTTCTAATACAGCAAATATCAATAAATGTAGCCCCTATAACTAAAAGCTCTAAATAGTTATCGATAAATTTTAAGAGTGCACAGGAATTCTGAGAACCAAGAGTTTAAGAATCACTGTCTCAAATCATCAATCAGATGTCTTACCTCCTTCTCTGAGTTGGAGTAAATGAGGGGAGAAGAGAAGCCAGAGGTGTTAATTTAGTGCTTTTCTTATCACTGGAAAAATGCCACCTCCCTACCCCTACCCTGCTAGTAACTCTAATGACAACCAGCATAGCAACTGCTTAAGATCATTGGCCGGAAGTTTGTGAATAGCGATGTCAGTGGAAAATAGGGTAAAAACCTTTTGAAATTCAAGTGTAGTAACATCAAGTTCTTTGTCTTTTTGTGGATGGGGGAATGGGTACCAGCTAAGAACCTTAAGCTGGAATTTGACACAGGGAATTGTATTAGAGTACAGAAAACTGTGCATACTAAAAGGAAGTTTAAGAAGTACTATACATACAAGCTGGTAGACCTAGAAAACAGCTGCACTGTTAGAAAGTTATCTCCTGACTAGGAATGGCTGAGGTGCTCTCAAATGCATTGCAATTTTTTGCATATTTTTCAGTTACCTACGAAGAAGAGCCCTCCTCCAGAGACCAATAGTGATAGTGATCAATATCTACTTGCACACCAATTTAGGGAGCATTTTTTTCACACTGATTTTTTCTTCTCATTTGATATTTCCTCTTTATAATCTAAGGTGGG